CGTCTGGTGTAGTGGTAAGTGACATGGTCACTACACAAGGCGGTCGCGGGTTCGAATCCCGCCAAGGGAAGATATTTGTATGATAAATATAAATGTCTTTGCCAGAGTTATGGATGTATGTTAAATATATGTATGTGTATAATAAAAATCTTACATTTATTTCCGTTATCTGGTACCTCTGACACAAGTTCTTTACGAACTTATCACGGGACCAGTTAACGTGGCGTGATTGTTAGAAAAAAAAAAAAAAAAAACTAGTTTATTACTTTACTGTAATATACCAGCGCTGTGTAGCTAGATTATAAATATCGATCGACAAATTTATTTCTTTTATTATAATTTTACTTAAAAGGCTGCCAACTGAGTTTCTCACCGGATCTTCTCAGTGGGTCGCGATTCCGATCCAGAGGTAGATTCTGCAAAGCACTGCTCTTGCTAGGGCTAGTGTTAGCAAATTCTCTCAGATTGAGCCCGTGAACTCACTCAACCGTCTGGGCAAAGCTGGAATAGCCTCTTTGGCTACCAACGAACAGATAGGGAAAAAAATAATAATTAAAAAGCAATTTCCGATTTTTCAATACGAGTATTCATGATCGGTCGGTAGGAATATTTGTTTTTTTATTGCTTAGATGGGTGGGCGAGCTCACAGCCCACCTAGTATTAAGTGGTTACTGGAGCCCATAGACATCTACGATGTAAATGCGCCACCCACCTTGAAATTTAAGTTCTAAGCTCTTAGTAGTCGAAATCACATTTACATATTCTTTGATCAAATCTTTTTTTTTTTTTTTTCTCAAATCTATTTACTTTTTACCAAAGAGAGTGTTATTAACTATCAAATGAAAGCAATAAAACTAATATTTGTTCTATAAGAAATAAATAAAAACAGCCAATACATTTCAATTCGAATTTCAATACTAACAAAATATCATTTCAATGCAAACAAATACTTGGGAATTTGCGTACGTATGTTTCATCCGAAACTTTGTTTTCCTTTGATAAATGTAATATTTTATTAGGTACAAGTTGTAATATCACACTGGTAGAAAGATAATGTCCTGTCATTTCCATTGTACTCATCCTAGACGCCGGTTGGGTTTCAGCCGCGAATAAATTTGCGACGATGGCGAATAAAATTCTGCGTCACGCGTAAAACGTTTTGGACAATCAATGAACTGATAGAAACTACCTAGAATAAGTATTAACTAGATGATGACCGAGACGAGCGTAAGCTCACCTGTGGTTAGTGGTAACTGTCGCTGATGGTCCTACAGTGCTAGCCACCTATAGCTGGGTACCCTAAACAAAATATGTTAAAGTTTGAAAGAGTTTGTCATTGCGCTTGAGAAACACCATAGAGGGGAGTTTATTCCAGAGAATGATATAATGGTATATCTCTTTGTCTTTGATTAAATATTACTTGTCTTTATTAACACTAGATGATGACCGAGCTTTTTTTCTGTTTTTTTTTTATAACGCCGTCTTGTTTTGTCTTTAAAGCGGTTAGCTGCCCTCAATTAAGAAAAATAGTATTATTATTCGCCAATAGATGTCGGGAAGAGTTGATTATTGAAAACACGAATAAAACAACATTTTCTGAAAATAAATCGTAGCTAGATCGATTTATCGCCCCCGAAATCCCCTGTATACTAAATTTTATGAAAATCGTTGGAGCCGTTTCCGAGATTCAGATTATATATATATTAATNTTGTCGGCAGATGTACCACGAACACAGAAACAACAAAAGGAAACAAAACAAATAAAAACTTCCAGAAAGAGCACTTAGTCGGCAGATGTACCACAAACACAGGCCGCGCGAACAATGGCCGGGCTAACAAAAGCCGGGCGAACAAAGACCGGGCGATCGAGTGGTCGATGAGCACGTCCGCACGTGACGGGTGCCTCTATCGGAATGGGTACTCAATTCACGACCACTCTGTGTGTTAAGTAGCGATCCTACGGACCCTTTACCCTTAACACCTTCTCATTTTTTAATTGGAGGTCCTTTAACGGCTCTGCCAGATGTCTCATTGACGGAGTCTACTTCAAATAAACTGACCAGATGGCGTTGGGTACAACAGTGTCTTCAACACTTTTGGAAACGTTGGAGTCGCGAGTATTTACATGAAATCCAACAACGCAATAAATGGTTTCACAATCGCGGACTACTCATACGTGAAGGCACCATTGTCGTGGTACGCGACGATAATCTTCCTCCATTACACTGGAGACTGGCTCGAGTACACGCTCTTCATCCCGGGTCCGACAATGTTACTCGCGTAGTAACTGTTCAAATCGGTAATACCTTCGTTAAACGTGCAGTAGTCAAACTTTGTCCACTTCCAATAAACTAACTTTTTTTATTACTATGTTACTCTTTTTTTTTAATTTTTTTTTTTATTATTACTTTTAATTTTCACACATTCGTAGTTGAGTTACTGAGTTTTCAAATTCCTTCATAAGTAGTGTTAAAACAATTGCATTATTTTAAGGTGAGCGGCATGTTTCGTACTGAAACAGATTTTTCGTGTTTCTGTATTTTTATTAATATCGAGTATTAGGCAATACATCTTCAAGACAACACAAATCTTAACCTAGGTACAGTAAGGTTCGATCTCGCCTGTAGACGGCCGGCTAGCCAACCAGAAGCTTGCTGAGCAACCCCTCCCAGCCTACGGGCTGAGATCGCCGTCATATAGTAACTTAACACACGCGTTCCGCGACAGACATTCTTTATTACAAACAACAAAGATTATCCAACGCAAGTCACGCGTAACCATTAGAACCAGCGACAATTGTTCATCGTGTACCAGTCAAGGGACAGACGGTCCCACCTCCGGAAACGACGCTGAGCCCAGGGAGCGCGAGGCAGTGGAAGGAAGGTGAACCGGTAAGTCTTCAGACNTTTCAGCCGCGAATAAATTTGCGACGATGGCGAATAAAATTCTGCGTCACGCGTAAAACGTTTTGGACAATCAATGAACTGATAGAAACTACCTAGAATAAGTATTAACTAGATGATGACCGAGACGAGCGTAAGCTCACCTGTGGTTAGTGGTAACTGTCGCTGATGGTCCTACAGTGCTAGCCACCTATAGCTGGGTACCCTAAACAAAATATGTTAAAGTTTGAAAGAGTTTGTCATTGCGCTTGAGAAACACCATAGAGGGGAGTTTATTCCAGAGAATGATATAATGGTATATCTCTTTGTCTTTGATTAAATATTACTTGTCTTTATTAACACTAGATGATGACCGAGCTTTTTTTCTGTTTTTTTTTTATAACGCCGTCTTGTTTTGTCTTTAAAGCGGTTAGCTGCCCTCAATTAAGAAAAATAGTATTATTATTCGCCAATAGATGTCGGGAAGAGTTGATTATTGAAAACACGAATAAAACAACATTTTCTGAAAATAAATCGTAGCTAGATCGATTTATCGCCCCCGAAATCCCCTGTATACTAAATTTTATGAAAATCGTTGGAGCCGTTTCCGAGATTCAGATTATATATATATTAATATACAAGAATTGCTCGTTTAAAGGTATAAGATTTTAAACAATGCCTGTCATTGAGGGGAGTTAAACTTTTAAAATCAATTGTTTCAAGATAGCCTTTGTATTTTCTGATTCAAATTTATCCTTCATTTAAAACATAATGTGTCTTATCTTTAATTGAGGAAATTATTTCAAACGTGTCAGCAGATATAATTATCAATATCAGTGGTAAAATTCTTTTGAAACGAAGTTCCTTATGGAACGATGCGGAGGGATACCCTAACCGGGAAAAAGGGACCACTTAGAGCTATCTTCATTTGGTCGGTCCATCGTGACGGTAATCTGCCAAGCGAATTTGTGCCCTGAAACCTAGCTCCTAGTTGCAACATTTGACTAACGCTGGAGGGCACATCATATTTGTATATTGAAAATTAACTTCTAGCATTAATTAAAATGGTTCCGAAAATGGATCCTATCTAAACTCATTTAAAATATTTTACTATTTTTTCAACTGTAGGTTGATGATAACCAGATGCTCTGACGTTTTCCTCGAGAAAATTCCTTCATAAATAATAATATTCTTAAATACAACTTAAATTTAGTATTATGATTTATTGAAATCACGCACTAGTAAATTTAATTAACGTTTAAGCAAAATTAATTATGAAGAAAAATGGTAGGCATCTATCCAGTCGTTTGTATACGTCACGCCTTATTTTATTATCAAGAATCATGTTACCAAAGTTACCCCTCTGGGCTTCTCACATTTGACTGACAGATACATTAGATTATTAAATTATCTATTTCTCTCATAAAGAAATAGGGGACGTAATGAAAAAAGTTACCCACCACGCCTTTGTGGAAAATTTTGTGAATTCAACACTTTGTTAAATGTATTTGTGAATAAATAAATTTTGTGGTATAAATCGAGAGTATAATTTATTTTTTATCTATGTTTAACAAAATAGTTTAATTAACAGACGAACGAGATGAATAAAAACAGTTTTACAATTTGATTTTAAGCATTTTTACATTTTACAATTTCCGTAGATTCCCAAGTTTTACAGTTTGGGTCGTAATCGTTTCGCTCTTAAATTAATTAAACTATTTTCAAAAACATTTCTAGTACTCCATAAAATTTAAAAACATAGCACTACCAAATTACTTCTAACAAAACAATTCGTATGCTAAATGAAGATTAATCCTAAATGTTCGTAATGATAACTAAACGGGTTATTCCCAGGGCGAGACCCATCTGTGACTCAGCGAAGGTCGGACTAATTTAGTTTATCTTAATAAGAATTTTCTCGTCCTAAAGGATCTACTTGTGATTGATAATATTTTTAAATTATCTACACTGCAAATTAGATATTCAGTTTGAGATGCAAGAACAACAGTCAAAGTGAACAATGTTAAAAAAGGATAAAAAAGATGTATGGTATCGTGAAACACCGGATAGGAACAAAATACCATATTTTAAAAATATTAATTTTAAGTTCTATTAGATGATAAAGAAAATAATTATTCAGGAATACATTATTTATTGTGATTTTTTTTTAATATAAATAATTGCAAGGGTCAACCACTCCGCAGTTCAATGGAGCAGCCTCGCCCTGGGGGAACCGCCTGCATGATCACGGTATCCCTCTACGACAGGTAAGTATGATTTAGCAAGAGAAATACGAGAACGTCTATCAACTCTGTAACATCTCGACACCGCGGTTCAGGAATTGTTGAATTTACGTGCAGCGACATTTGTTGATAACAAACTAAATAAAAAAATCTTACGTTACGGACGTTTTTTCCCGATTAGGGTACCCCTCCGCATCGTCCCATAGGGAACTTCGTTCCAATAATAATAAAAACAAGAACATCAAATTGAAGTTTACAAAAAAAATGTCTAAATACTAATATAAGACCAAAGCGCTAGTTACGTCGATTTTAAATAGGCACCAACTAATTATAGATCTAAATAAAAACTTGTTCGAGTAAGCTCTGTAAATGTAATCGGTAAAATCGATATCTAATCGACGGCCGTCTGGTGTAGTGGTAAGTGACACGGTCACTACACAAGGGGGCCGCGGGTTCGAATCCCGCCAAGGGAAGATATTTGTATGATAAACATAAAATGTCTTTTTCAGGGTTATGGATGTATATTAAATATATGTATGTGTATAATAAAAATCTTACATTTATTTCCGTTATCTGGTACTTGTAACACAAGTTCTTTACGAACTTACCACGGGACCAGTTAACGTGGCGTGATTGCTAGTAAATATTTAATATTTATATTTAATTTATATTAATGTGTTTGTGGGAACCATCCCCAGATTTAAAGTAAAATTTAGAAAACTAATGTACAAAATAAATATTTATAAACAATTATAAACAGTTACATACGATCTCACTTCGCTAAAAAAGTACTTCAATAACTGTACAAAAATATCTCTCCATATAAATTCAATTCGAATAAAAACATACACTATAGAAACATAAGTTGGTGTATTTCCACAATGACCCTTCAAACCTTTCTGTGTCTTTTTATGAGAAGTGCATAAGCTATTTGGTTTAAATTGTAAGCTATTGGCGAAATCCAAAAAATAAATTTGTTTATGTTTATTGTTTTAAACAGGAACACGTTTATGATATGTCCAGTGGTTTTCGTTACCCATAGACATCTGAATACCATAATTATACATATAGGCCATAGATTGATATTAACACGAAGGTACCTCCCATTAGAAGCTGTTTGCATGATTTGTAAAGTGAAATGAACGAATTTATTACGGAAATAGGAAAGTAGAAATGTGTAAGATATCATAACGAAATCCATTGGCGGACACAAGCTGCCAATTTTGAAAATTGAGCTCTTAATTCAATAGACTCGGTGGCTAGAAGAGTCTGTTTCTAGGAAGAAGCTGACATGCTTAACTTTTTGAAGGATGGAATATTTATTATACTTCACAATTGAGACTTCAACCACAACTGTCATAGTGAGTGTCATTCACATTGTGATTTCTATGAGCTCTGGTCACAATTTAACACCAGAAGAACACAGCTCACTGGTCTATACAGTAAGAAAATATAAATTTTAAGTAGAAGAGAAATATAGCAGAATGCCCAGCCGTTCAATGTAGAAGCTTTTTATTTTAGTCTTTATTGCGACATAAATAAGATTCATTGTCCACCTAGTTGTTCTGAATAAAAAATGGCGTTTACGCTTCGTTATCTTACCTCTGGATATCCCGGCTACAGTCTGGCAAATAATACCGAATTCCAATAGTTTGAACCAAACCGAAAGTCAGACACTAACACGATATTGCTTTTTCGTTGCTACGACATGTCCGTTCCTTTTTCATGTAAAACACGTCGGCCATCCCAGCTCGAGCAGGATACGGGACTCGGGAAACCACGTATGTAGATCTAGAGTATTCGAAACCTCGATACGGCCGCAACAAGTAAATTTGATACGTATTTTACTCAGAGCAGAGCTCAAAATTAAACTTGATAATGAATCTTGAGAACGATGTTCGTGAGAAATATTTTTTGTTGGAAAATTTTATAGTTTATTCTATTAATAGATTTAGATTTTTATTAAGGTTATCAACGTAGTGTGAATTGGGTTTTCAGAGCGAAAAACCTTGGAATGTTTAATTATATTATTAAAAAAAATTATATTTACTATATTCTTCGATTCTGCTAATTAGAAAGTATTTGTGGTCGCTTTGAAGAATTACAGTTTCTAAATGTTAAGTTTGTCGATTCATTGTACCGATAAAATTGTACAAAATACAAAAAATCGGATTGAATATATCCCATCCTTCCTTATTCTTATTCCAATTAATGCGATTAGGGGATCCAGTTAGGAATTTCCTTGATATCGAAAAATTTTATTGAATTTTCAATTCATTTATTAACATTCAATGTACGTGTAACATTTAAACTAACAATCTAAATAAACATTTTGGAGTGGTATTCAGAAATTATACATCCTTCATTGCACACTTTTCGTATGTAACAGAAAGAGATAGAGATATACCCTCAGACACAGCCCACTGAATTTCTAGTCGATTCTTCTCAGTGGATCGCGTTTCCAGGTCCGGTTGTAGATTTTGGGAAGCACTGTTCTTACTAGGGCTAGTGTTAGCAAGCCCTTCAGGTTAGAATCCCGTGTGCTCACCTACGTGCTCGATAAAGCTAGCATAACCCCTCGTGGCTACCAGCATAGGTAAGAAAAGAAGAAAAAATAATTTCCATCAATTTTTTTATCTTTTTTTATTGCTTTGATGGGTGGACGAGCTCACAGCCCACCTGGTGTTAAGTGGTTACTGGAGCCCATAGACATCCACAACGTAAATGCGCCACCCACCTTGAGATATAAGTTCTAAGGTCTCAAGTATAGTTACAACGGTTGCCCCACTCTTCAAACTGAAACGCATTACTGCTTCACGGTAGAAATAGCCAGGGTGGTGGCACCCACCCGCGCGAACTCATAAGAGGTCCTACCACCAGTAAATATTTACCACCAGTAAATTAACGGCGTTTTAAAGTGGCTGGTTTCCGAAAATTGCACATGCTTGTATGATACCTAATTTGAAAAATAGCAACCTAACTGCAATCAACAAGAATATTTAATCCATCAACAGTAAGAATATTTAAGGTTCTAATTATCTCGGATAACATTTTAAACTGCAACCCCGAAGAAAAAAATCCACAACTTCATTACTTTTAAGCGAGTTCCACAGATACTGCGCCTTGAGTAATTTTTAAACGAAATCACATTTATAAAGTTTCCCTTTTGAACCTCTCAGGGCATTCCCTTTTATGCTCCAATCAAGTTATTTTGTACTTCTAATTAAATTAATTAAGATCTTCTTGACACAAATTTTTAAGGGGCTAATTGTTTAGCATAAATACCAGAGTTTTCAACCCAGCTTTTAATGTTAGCACATTATTCTTTTTGAATGTTTCTTTACTTACTCTTTTGTTTCGTGTTATTTAGAGATAACATCACAAACAATGAATTTTTTTTTATTAGATTTCAAATAAAATAATGAAAATAAAACTTCATCACTTAAGGTTTAAATTTTGTTAATAATATGATAATTTGTCTCCGTTGTATTATTATAGTAATGAGTTCCGAGATTCTCTTAAGATTAGGTAGGCCGTGACTTAATTGTCAATCTTTTTAAAAGAACATTTGGCGGACAATATCTTGTTTTGCAAAACATGCCCATTTAAATATGTATTAGAGAACTACTTTTTCGATTTAATAAATTTATTTATTTATTTATTTATAACTTCTTATACTAGAAAGTATAAAGGCGGACTTAATGCCATAGGCATTCTCCAACAGTCTACCTTAGGGGAGTGCAGAGATGAAGCTTGGTAGGTGTAGTGTGAAGGTGATATTACTTAAACATATCTGTATATATCTGTAAATCTCTCTTTTCATTTTATTATTTCAGATGTTTCCATTACGATACGGTTTTCGCGGTCACGAAGTGATAGCAACGTCGTCAGGTTTGACCCCGTGAGCTCACTTACTAGTTAAGGTTAGCTGAAGTGGTGTCTCAACACCATAAACTTAGGTAGGAACAAAAAAGGTCAGGAAACAAAACCATTACTTATTAATGTATAACCGCTATTTAAATAGATACATAGAATTATCATTGATACCTTTGTTTTAAAACGATGAAGCAGTTTTCGACGTATAGGTAATTTTAATCTAAAATCACAATAGATACCTAGTCAAGTTCAATAAAACTAATTTATATTATCAATTATTGTCCTCCTAAGGCTCAGAAATATACGAGTATATAGGCTTTAAAATAAAAAGAGCCATGTTACGTGATAATTTTGAAATTGTGCTTAGCTTTCGTGAAAGCTTACAAAAATTGGTATTAAAATTTACGTATATTTATAAAAAGAAAAAAAAACTAACAGTATCTCGAAGACTGGCAGTTTGTTAGAATTGGGTTGTCTTCACTATTTTCTATCTAGTTGTGTATCTAATAGTTAGATGTACCTTATGTCCCTTATGTACCTTATATCTCTCCCAAGCCTCACCACGACGACCAATCCTGTGCTGCTTGCACCCAACAGGTTCCCGTGACCTTCAACAGGTCGTCGGTCTACATTGTGGGAAGGCATCTTCCAGTATTCGGTTGCCACTTCTTTTTTCAAATTGACATTTGTTCTACGCGCAATGTATTCTGTCCAGTGCCACTTTAACTTTGCAATCCCTTGGGATATGTCCTGAGAATCTCTCCATTCCTAATTAAATTCAGAGCGTAGCCCTTTCTATTACTCTTTGGGTATCTTTGAGCCTTCTGATGAGACCCTTTATGAGCGACCACATTTCAGTGTCATATGTCATCACTAACAATATACATTGGTCTGGAGCCATTGCGGTATTGGTGATGAGAAGACTCTACGCAGTTTTCCGATCAAACAAATACTGCAAAAGTACTTTTACATGAATAAAAATCAATTGAAAGATTGTGATTTAAAAACAAAATCTGAACAGAATATAGCACTGGAAACATGGTGTTTTAAAAACGAAAGGCGTTACAACGTTATCAATAGGTGGATCTTAGGCAGTTGAACGGTGACCGATTTGTATCAAAATGGGCATTTTTTTCACTACAATTGACTGAAAAAA